ACCCTATCCCAGAAATAAGTTGTAGAGGCTGAAGAAGCCCATGCTTTAGGGCATAGATGGGCTGACTCCATCAGTTTCTAGTGTTTAACTGTTATCCGCCTTCATCTTTATCATGACATCATCATATTGCTGTTGTTAGCAAGTAGATAGTGAACATCTTCTGCAGTAAGGCCCTGAATCAGGTGCATGGATGGAGATGGATTAAAGGGAAAATGAAATCCACTTTTCCATCACCGAACACCTTCCAGGTCCCCAGCTCCACGCCTCACTCATGGGGATACCAAGGAAGCATAAGCCACCGCCTCCGGACTTGGACTCTTTCCTAGGACCTTGCAGAGCAGAATGACCTGTGGCCGACCAGTCTGTGCAGGGGTCTTGCCCTCGTCCTGGTCCCTTGGAGAAGCAGCAGCCCCTGTGTGCGGGAGAAGGGAGCTGCTCTCTGAAGTCAGGGGAGCTGGGCCATTTGACAAATGGGAATCATTTTCTTCTTGTGAGGGCGAGGTCGCCGCTGTGGGCATCCACCTGTTTGTATGTGGCCTGCTCTGCTGAGCCGCTGCTCTGGGGCTCATTCAGGGACAAGAACACCAGTAAAAATAGTTTAGTAAGGCAGGAGCCAGAGCAGGCTTAAACGGTGGCATCTTTTCAGCTGGCAGCCAGGAGACAGAGCTTTGAATCAGCTTTATAATTTGAAAATTGGTCTCTTTGCATTGGGTGGTTATTTCGTGCTAACAAAAGCCATCAGGGACACAAGGCCGCTTGCCCTTCCTCCACGGCACTGCTCTGGGTTCAAAAGCGTTCAGCCGAAGGTGGTGATTTTCCATTCCTGGGATTCTTGGATAGTGGTGCCCCCTTCCTGAGTGGGACCTGGAGATACTAAGAGAGCCTCGGGTCTGGGTAGGGAGCCATCCCAGGGGATGGGGGGAGATTGCTGGGAAAAGTGGAGGCTAAGCTGGGCCCTGAAGCATAGCCCCAGTGGGAGGCTAACCTGGAGGGGCTGCACCTGTCTCGCCCGTGTGTGGCTCTGTGTTTACCATGGCGGTGCCCTTAGTCAGGTCACAGGGCTGTAGCAGTGCTCAGAGCTTCCAGGACCAAATTAATGGAGGTTGTTTTTTTGTTCTCTGGCTAGGGAGAGGTTGACATTCCATTTTTCCCCACGGGCTTCTTTGTATGTGCTTTCTCCAGATGGAGTGCTCCAGAGAGGTCCTTGTGCTCTGGGAACATAAAGAAGGTCACCCATGGTGCAGGGTAGCTCAGAAGTCAGCCTGCCAGGACCTGGCTTTCAGAACCACATCTTGGCTCTGCGGAGCCCTGGTCACCTTGCTCTCCATGTCATCACCTCAGGGTGCATAGGACACACCCCTCACGCAGCCTTTCTGAGGCCATGGATGTGTTCTCATGCCGGTGCTTCCTGCCTTCTTCCGAAGCATTGTCTAAACGGATGGCTCGGCTTTTGGAACTGGCAAGTGGTAGGAGAGAGGAGGATGAAGACAGTGCTTGGGAATGGGTACAAAGATTGGAGTTTGAAGACAGTAGTCTGCAAGAAGGTGTGAGGTGCTGCAGGCTTGTTGTGAGAAGAGATTTGGGGTCTGGAGGGGCTGACAGTGCTGAAGACATAGGCTGCTTTTATCTATGTGCGGGAAGAGAAGTTAGTCTAGGAACTAAAATAGAGTTGATTAAGTGTTGTCCGTGCTGAGCAGGGAGGGAGTCTAGGAAGGAAAAATTATAGATCACAGATTGAATGGACAAAATGAGAGTTCCAGTGCTCCCAGCAAACCCAGTAAGACATGAGATTAGGCCACTGGTTACTGGTCACTCCAACGCAGCCCGTAGAAACGGGGACACCTTCCACTTTCATTCATCTCAGGGCTGCCCTGAGGGTTACTGGAGAGGCTGTTCACACAGTGGACTCCTTCCTGTGAAGATTATGCCAAACGTAAAGGATGTTCTTAGGTCAGAAATGCAGCAGCCCCTTCAACCTCAAGGCCCGTAAACCCAGTAGGAGACGTATGCTTTGCTTGTGGCCGTGGACGTGAGCACACACGTGTGTATGCATGTGGGGCGCAGGGTGAGTTCTGAGGAGGCGGACTATAGTTTAGCAGTGAACCGCGAGTCCTGTGCGTGCCGCAGAAATCTTTCATTGTCTCACTTTGTGACCTTTAATGAATCATACACTCCTTTGTTTTCTTATGTGTTAAATGGAGATACGAATGCTTGCTGGTTACTGAAACAGTTCTGATGCTTCAGGTGCCTTTATTAATTCAGATACTGCCTTCTAATTCCTTCCTCTGGGGTATCATAAGAAAAGCGAAGGCCCCGGTCATATCGGGGTCTTCCTAGCTTTATGCTTAGGATCCACACAGTGAGTGTAGGGAGGACAATGGCAAGGTATGTGAGAGAGAGGACTTCTCACAGGAAGTGTTGGGTTCTCCATGATCCTGACATTCTGGGTAAAACACTTTACCCCAGGGGTGCGGCAGCTGCCTGGACCAGCTGGAGCAGAGGAAAGGAGGGGGGTGAATGGAGTAGATGGTGATACAGGAGCCGTGTCACGTTGAGAATATAGCCTTGAATTGAGTATAGCACAGAGGCAATTTTCCAGGCCCTGGGGAGTGGGCGCAGGGCCCTAATGCTACAGGGACCCGATGGTAATAGTGCAGGAGACAACTGTCAGGGGACAGGAAGGCAGTGGGCCAGTCGGTACTAAAGAAGACCTGATGTGCTCATCTTGATATCACATAGGGCTGGTGAATTCGTGGCATCTGTGATACCATTCCCTACTGTTTGTATCCGTGGCAGACGTCACTAATCTGTCATGACATACTTTCCTCTTGTACGCGGAGAAGTCTCAGAATCCTTTGGGTCCAGCATTTTGGGCAGTCGTGTCAATCAATTGGTGGAAGAGTAGAAACTTATTTATTGTCTGTCATGGGTGTGATGACAGAAAGGACGTAGATTTTGGAATTCAGCAGAAATGACAGCCCAGACAGGTACAAGCTTTGTAGCATTGAACAAGCATATTCGTCAGGTCTTTTCTGGTTGCAAAGGACAGAAACCCAATTTGAGTTAGCCTAAGCTAAGTTACTTAAGTAATATAACCAGAAAGCTCAGGGTCTGGCTAGATCAGGAGCCTGATGAGGTTGTTAAGGTCCATCTCTAGGACAGAGTGTCTCTGCGTTCTGTCAGGCTAAGCCAGGTCGTTGCTTATCCCCTGGGGGAGGGGGGCGGCAACAGGGCTGGTGGTGGAGGCGATAGGGTCTAGATAGCAAGTCACACTGGGAGCAAAAGTCATCTTGAAGGTCAAACATAGAAGGATCAATCCAAGATAAGAGTAGGGAGGGGTGGCTGGGAGAGGTGCCAAGTGTTCATCTGAATACTAGTGAGGTGCAGCGAGGAGAGGGAAGGGGCAGTTTGTTCTGGGCCCAGCAGCTTCCCTGGGAGAGCTGTGTGTACACTGAGAAGAGGGGAGGGCCCTTGGAAGCTACATATGTGCAACTGGTCTGGCTGTTCCAGCCACGGTTCTCTGGGCAACTGATTTGGCATCAGATGCCAGGCTCACTGCCCACACTATCACCCCATTCTCTGCTGCTTCCCTTGATCCTATGGCACCCAACCAGGTGACAAGTCTCAAGGCCATGCATCTGTTCTGGGGCATTCAGGTCTGGGCCCAGGCTGAGCTGGTCCTGGGTAAACCTTGTAGGATTCTAGGGTCAGGCATCCAGCTGATCAGATGGAGGAATGCCCACCAAGTATGCATAGTGTCTTAGGGGCAGTCTTGAAGGCTTCCTTTGCCTTTATACAGAGAAATGTGGATGCCTCTACTCTGGATTTCACTGGTTCCTGCACAGGTTTCCTCCCTGTGTCCCTCTACCCCACCCTGTCAATCCCTGCCATACACAGCTCCCTTTCCTGGATATCAAATGCTATGTAATGAATCACCCCAAAACAAAGTGGTTTATAGTAGCAAGCACCTGGCTGCCTCCCACAGTTTCTAGGGGTCAGGAATTGCTTGGGCTTTCACATGAGGGTGCAGTCAGATGGTGGGCAGAGCAGCTGGGGGCTGTCTTGCAGTCTCTCCCTGCTCATGGGCTCTCCGTGTTGGCTAGTATGGGCTTCCTCACCCCATGGCAGCCTCAGGGCATGCACATACTGTCATTTCTTATGTACTTTTTGGTCAAAATGGTCACCAAAGACCAACCCCATTTCAGGAGGAAGGGACATAGATCCTCTTTCTTAATGGGAGGGATGTCAAAGGATTTGCTGACCTAACGTAAAACCATCACAGCCCCCGACCCCCTCCTATCCAATCAACACTCATTGCTCAGATGGGTTTGAGGTACCTGGATGTGACCTAACTTTGGTCCAATGCCTTCCTTTCATTATACTATTTTTGGTTTTTGGAACTTGGGTACAGAGACTTGAGTGAATTACACTCTTCGATTCATTGTGCATTTGTCATCATTGATTCATGCAATGATTCTCTCTCCATTCATTTATTCATTCATTCACTCTTCCCTTTTATCCCCATATCCTACGTTCCTTTTTCCCTCTTCACTTTCCTTAAACAACCATCCTATTATATTTTATGCATGTCCTTTATTTGTATGTGTTCTTACAAATGTAAGAGACGTATATGACGTTGCATATGTACGGTTTTCTGTGTCCTCCTTTTCTCACTTGCTCCGTGTTTCCAGGTCCATACTTGTGCCATGCATGTATGCTGTAATGCACACATCTCATGTCTGGTTGCCTAAGATGAGTCGGTGAGATTGGAGAGTAGGAGCGACATGTCCAGGGTCACACAGCCCAACTGGGACAAGAACAGTTTCCCTGACTCTTTTTGCTCAGCAGCACACACCCATGTTCTCATGCGCCACCTCCCAGGCTCTTGCTGCAATAGTTTGAAATGAGATTTAAAAAAAAAATTGCGAGTCTGGGTTCCTTTTCCCAGCTCTCTTGCTTTCTCCCTAGTAACTGCCGTCCTCTGTCCTCTCCTCCTGCAGGTTCCAACTATGGGAGCCCGCGCCCCGCTCATGCCAACATGAATGCCAATGCCGCTGCAGGGCTCGCCCCTGAGCACATCCCTACACCGGGGGCGGCCTTGTCCTGGCAGGCGGCCATTGACGCGGCCCGGCAGGCCAAGCTGATGGGGAGCGCCGGCAACGCGACCATCTCCACGGTCAGCTCCACACAGCGGAAGCGGCAGCAGTACGGGAAACCCAAGAAGCAGGGCAGCACGACAGCCACGCGCCCGCCCCGTGCCCTGCTCTGCCTGACTCTGAAGAACCCCATCCGGAGGGCGTGCATCAGCATTGTCGAATGGAAATATCCTTTGCGCTCTGGCTTGGGCGGGGTGCCCCCCGGGGCCCCGGGTGGGGCTGGCCCCAGGCTCGCTCCCAGACCCACTGCACCTTCATCGCGGGGGTGCTATGTAAATGCAGAGTTTTAGGCGCTACCCGAGACTCAGTGACTCAGAATGTCTGGGGATAGGGCCCAGAAATCTGCTGGAGTAACAAGCAGGGTCTTTCTCTTCATGTATCTTTTTCATACCATGAGCAGCATTTGAGAAAGCGATCCTGAGAGGTTGTATCATCTCACCTAGCCGAGCCTGTCCAGGGATCCGCTGGTGTGTCGGGTGAACAGTGGTTACATACCCCATAGCCTTCTTTGCCTCCTGTGTCATGGCACTGGTGTAGTTTCATGACCTCCACTCTCTCTAGGAGGAGGAAGCCCGAGATGTGCGAGAGGGTAGTGGTCAGTGACCCACCCTGGCTCATGGTTCCCAAACTTGGCTGCACATTGGCATCGCCTGGAAAGTTGTAACAAAATACAGGTGCCCGAGCCCCACGCAGGCATACGTGAAAGTTCTCCAGGTGATTCTCGTGTGCAGCCAAAGTGGAGAATGCTGGCTGGGAGTTTTAAACACAGACCCACATTGTATGCATAGAACCCAGTGAGTGGGCCCTTCAGAGAAAATGGCTTTGGAGGGCCAGGCTCTCACTGTGGAATTACAGGCCCCTTAACGTCATGGGAATTGTGGGGTGGTGGAGATCGAAAGGCGCTTCAAGATGAGTAGGTCCACCCCTGACTTTGCCCAGTGATGACATTGAGCCCCACGTGGTCATATATTAGTGACAGACAGGTGAACTCTGGTACTTAGTGTTGGGCATTTTCATAATAAGAATTCATTCAGGCAGAGCTACCACGTCTCCTACCATGTCTCCTGGGGCTCAGGATAGGAGGGTTCCATGTCATTCATGAGTTTCCACGGAAAGATTGAGAAGCCTTAGTAGGTAGTGGTTGAAAGGCAAAAGAAGATGGCTTGGGAGGGAAGAGCTTCTGTTTAGCAAGACATGTCAGTTCTATAAATGTTTGGGCCCCTCAACTCAAAAAGTAACTTTAAGAGAAGGCAGCGTAAGCTGAGTGGCAGCTGGAGAGCTGGCTATCTGTCTTGAGTGGCCAAGCGTGCTTCCCGTTCCTGGAGGACTGGGTGAGAGGCTCGGCTCTGGGCAGCCCCAGCATGCTGCTGTCATAACAGCTCCAACAGAACCAGGCAGTGGGAGAGCTGGGGGCCATGTGGGTCAGGCTCCCCCAAAGGGGAGGGCACTGAGGCCTGGAGAAGCTGAAGATCTTACCCAGATCACACAGCCTGTAGCTGATAGAGCTGGGTTTCAAATCCAGGTTCCCCAAGTCCCCAGTCCATGTGCGTCCCGCTCCCTGTGCACCCATAGTGTAGAGGAGACATACTAGGGTAGGCATTCAGGGGACGCCAGCCAGCCCACTGGGACACGCAGGGACCTGGATCTGGGGCCTGAACTACCACGCCCCATCATGGTGCTGCCACCTGTGTTCTGAGTGGTCACAAGTCATCAGAATCACCAGAGCTTCTGTTTCCTCATCTTTAGTGGGCAGTAACCAAAGTATTAGCTAGGGCTGCGGAGTCTATGCCTGTGGAAGCATGCTCAGAAAAACACGTCAGGGGACGTGTTTGGTGAGGACGAGTTGACTTCATCAAGTCTGTCTTCCCTCCCCGGGATGGACAGCTCCCTGACAGGCAGCACTGCGGGCAGAATGAAGTGCCAGGTGACGTACTAGCCTGGGAGGAAGGGAAGAGGTGAGATAGCAGCACACAGGGCAGGAGGGGGAGTGTGGAAGAGCGGGGCTTTGTAATGGCACCGTCTGGTGTGCGGCCCATGGAAACTGGTCACAGAGCCACAGGAGGCCCGAGGCAGGGACTCGTGAAAAGACAGTTGACCAAGTCAGCAGCAGTGTTAGCCAGGCCATGACCCAGGGCCACCTGTGGAGCTCAGCCGCTTCCCTGGTTGGGCAGAGGGGTGCTGCAGCCAGCACACCTGGCGGAATGGGTCCTCCCCCATGCAGGAAAGGAAGCAGGCCTGGCCTCCGCGCTGCTAGTCAGATGGCATTCCCAGACTGCCTTGGAAGGGTAGTTGGACAGGTCAGGAGATGGTCTGGTGTACTCGCTCGTCAGTGTTCCTTGGAAGAGTGGAATCTGATGCTGTCATTAAGAAGGAGAGACAGTTTAAAAAATGATCTGGCTGTCACAGGATGACACAGTACGTTTCCAGGTCTTACCTGGCGTCTCCTCCACCTTCCACTCGTGGTTTTTCTTACCTGCCTGATCGGTTTCTTTATACATTATCGTCTCCACAGTAGCCAGGGACTTTTAGCATAAGATGATGGATGGATAGCCTGGATTGGGGGAGGATGTAGAAGTGATAGTGTAAGAAACACCCCAAGCTTAGCCGCCACCCACTTTGGTGGAAGGAACGAGTTGATGTTTGAGGACAGGTGCCTGAGGTCTGACTCGGTTAACTGAAGTGCTGTAGCCCTGGTGGGGGTGTGTGTGTGTGGGGGGCGCGGCACAAGGGATCAGACGACGGGAATGAAACCGACCAGCCCCTGGGCTGAATGGGACTTTCCTAAGCAGGTGGGAAAGGGCTAGGAGGGAAGGGGTTTTGTGGTAGGGGGTCTAAAGTATGAACTTTCTAAAAACGCTTTAGGGTAACTTCAGGATAGGTCAGCGTAGGGATCAGCGTAGGGTAAGTAGTCCTTACAAACTCCGACTTTGGAACCAGACTTCCTGAGTTTGAATCCCATCCTACCACAAGCTGTGTGACATTGGGCAAGTTAACAGTTCACCTCTCTGCCTCCTCAGTTAGAAATGGGGACAATAACTGTGCACTCATTCGGGTGTTTGTGCAGAGCAGTTAGAGCAGAGCCCGGCACAGAGTAAGCGCATGGTGTCGGCCACTGTCCTGCCTGCTGCTGTCCCTGTCATCAACACTGCCAGTGCCATCCCTGGTTCCTTGGCCAACTCAGGGGGCACCACAGCATATCGGAGCAGATGAGTCAGTAGGTCCAGGTCTGGGGCTGGCCCTGCTACTTGTCAGCTTGGAACCTGGGAGAGGTGGTTTTGTTTTCTGTATCTGTCAAGTTGGGGGTTAGACTGCATATCATCGTCTTGATATCAAGGCACACACACTCATGAGGTGTGCTGGTAAATGGACCCTCGTCTATGCCTGTGGGACCGAGGGGGATCCATGACCAGCACACCAGCTAAAGCCATGACTAAGATGTCTTCTAGGTCCTTAACACAGGTCAGAGGCCATTCATGGCAGCGGGATGAACACTGGACTCTGCGCTCAGGGAATCTGGGTTCTAGTCTTGATGGGAAGTACCTGCCATGGGCTCTTCGGAAAGTTTCTCAGGCTCTCTGGGCCTCAGAGGTTTGGACGAGATGATCTCTAAGGTCTCTCTTCCTGCTTCAATTCATTAACTTGGTGAGTACAGGTTTCCCTGGGAGAGGAAGTTGGTCCCTTCTTCCAGGGATTTCCATCCTCTTTCCCTTCCTCATCTTGTCAGGCTCCTCGGATGAGGATGAAAACTTGGCAGTGTTGGGGAACCAGGGGAAGCTGGGGCCCAAAGAACATAAACTGGCCTTCCTCTGAAGCTTCTCCTTTCTGGCCTTTAGTTGTAGGTGCAGAGTAGAAGGACCATTATCATATTAACTCCTTTTTCTCTGGAGAATGTGTTCTGCCTGATATTTTGATAAAGAAATCTGGGCACAAGAGCCTCACTGAGTGCACTGCTGCTGGTGAGTGAAGCTGGCTTATCCCTCTAGATCCCAGTACACACCAGCCCAAGTCAGGAGGCCCTAGAATGGAAGCCTTGCCCACTGAAGGCAGGGCCTCCACAGACTGAAGAGGGTTAAGGTGTTCCACATGGAGCTGTGCCTTGGAGGAAAGAAGGTTGCCCTGCCCTGAGGGCACAGTACACGGGCTGCCATGCTTTTGAGGGTCCAGAGCCCCCAGCCATCGTCAGGTTCTGTGGAAGGTGTCAGGAAATAAAGTAGAAGAAAAAAACAATAACCACTCTAAACTTCAGATTAAAAGATCAAAAGTAAATCTCCAAATTTCAATGAAAAATCTTGACGTCAAGTCTGCCTTAAATCGGTCTCACCTCTCCCGCCCCCAGCTCAAGTCACCCGGGGGGGCAGTGTGGAAACCACGAGAGAAGGAGTTTCTGGGGGACGGCCTGTCCTGACTTGAGCAGGCCCTGCTTTGTAGAGGCAACCCCAAGCACACATGGGGGAAAATGAAGTCCAATGCAATCTAAATAAATAAAAGAAGAAGAAAAAAGTTTTTAGAAATCTGTGTTTACTCTGGCACGCGACTGGCCTCCACTGCTTTTGACATATTAGGAAAAATTTTGGCGGGGACCCATTAGAAGCACTTAAAAAGGCATATGTTTCTTTTCAGAACACAAGGGGCTTGGAATGTATTGTTTAAACAAAATTCTTATGAATCTTTGATTCATTTAAAAAATATATATATGTATGTTTGTTTCACTTGTGCTTTCTGTGGCATTGACTTCCTTAACTCCCGTCCTCAGACCATTTGAAATAATTATTTTACTGACTATTTTTGCCAATTGTGTGGCCTTAGCGATCTATATTCCCTTTCCAGAAGATGACTCCAACGCCACCAATTCCAACCTGGTAAGTCCACCATCCCGTCTCTCTCTGCTTCTCTCCCTCGGTGGAGGACTGAGCTTGGATCACATGGATTCAAGGTGGAATGTGGGGAGAAGTGAGATGTGCGTTTGACACGCGCAGAGGTGCTGCCGAGCTTAGATCTCAAGTGCTGCTGCTCTTTATTCAAGTCAGCACCTGTCTTATCACAGCCTGTTTTCAGAAGGAATATTCCAGTTAGGTGGTGGTGAGCTCTGTGTGTGTGTGTGTGTGTGTGTATTTTGAGAGCTATAAAATGTGCTGCTTAAGTTGCAAGTGCAGGTGTTTGCAGGAGCAAGCTTTTATTCTTGGATGATTTTTGTATTTACTTTAAGTGACTGTGTCCCACTGATAAGGTTTGCTCAGGTGATCTATAGTATCACTGCATGAGAAACAATTTCTAGGAAGCTTTTAGGAAAGTTTCCTTTTGCAGCCAAGATGCATTATTTAGTTGAAAAGGTTTTCTTTTCTTGGGAAAGGCGGCTTTCCATCTGGGTTGTTGGGAAGCCAGTGCTGGCAATTCGGGGTTAGAATTTGTCCATGGAAAAAGCGCGGAGTGTGTTTACTTTTGGCCGAGCGTGAAGTCATTACAGAGGCCGTTGCTCTGTCTGGGCATGGGAGGAAAAGAGCTCTGGAATGCAGTTGGCAAAATCAGGGCAGTCCCGGGTGCCTCTGCCACGGGCCATAGGAAAATCCTGTCTCTCTCCCCTCCCCCGCAGAGACACCATAACTTTTCATGTGATTCCCACCAAATGCCTCTTTCCCCGTCGTCAGCACCTTCCTCTAATTAGCGAGATTGGACTGTCTGATGAGATCGTTCCCAAAAGAATCAGGAAGGTTAGCAAATTCTCCTTTCCCTTATTGCTGGCTGCTGATGGCATCACGACTGTCATTCTTTTGCTTCTTAACCTTCGACATTTTCTTTAGCCACCTCAGCAACTGAATCTGAGGCGCATTTTAAACTTCTCCACCGTGTCCCCCAGTTGGGACAGTTAGGCCCAGCTCCATATTGGGTAACGTGGTGCGGTGCGAGCCAGGCTGCAGCGTCTTAGGGCTCAGCTTGGGCCGTGCGTCAGGGACAGGTTCCAGAGCTGGCCCAGGAGCTCCGAGGAAGGACATGGCCAGAGTTGACAGGCAGAGCACTCCCTGCAGTCCACGAGGCCTTCTGAGGCGTGACCTTGTCTCTTAACAGGCAAGAAATCTTTACTGTGTCAGAATAAACACAAGCCCAAGTGTCTCCCAAATGGCCCTTGGAAAAGCAGGAGCATCTTCCGTGGGCTGTCCTCGGCGTATCCACCTCCCTCTGCCAGCATGGGCCTCCTGCAACCTGGGCAGCTTCACACTTCATCTGTAACTTAAAAAAAAAAAAAAGGATGTGTGTCTTATTCTGAAGACAGGGAGGCTTTGGGTGGGATCTAGGCAAAAGCAGTGGGGAAGGTGGGTAGAGAGTTTGCATTTAGTCTCTGCCCCAGCCCCTCTGGGCTGAGCTCCCTGGGGGATTAGCAGCAGCACGGGGAGGGGGCTGGGGGTGCTGCACAGGGAGAGGAGCCTGGGCTGGCTGCTGTCTGGGTCTGTGAAGCCCGTACTTGGTGGCGGTGGCCTGGCTGGTGGGACCATGAGGGGTTGTGTTGGACTTACTCTGGAACTAGAGTGGAGGTTGCTGGGTGCAGAGACTGCTGGAGGGACAGTGGATTTTTAAAATCCCACTGCAGAGTGATGGAGGTGTTCTGAAGCTGGATGCACAGCTGTATAACTGTACTAAAAGTCATTGAGTCGTATACTTAACAATGGGTGACTTTTATGGTATGTAAATTATACCTCCATAAAGCTGTATTTTTAAAAAAGAATAACACCAGCATGCAAGCCCGGGCCTCACAAAACCTCCCAGTGTCAGTTGCATGTTGCTATTTTCTTTCTTGCAAATGAGCGGGGAGGTTACATAGGTGGAGGGAAAGAGGGGATGGGGACAGCCAGTGAACTTTGTTGTGACGTTACACTAGGAATTTGGGGGATGCGGAACAGAGTGTGCGAGGTTGAAAAGGCGTTTCTAGTTGCTAGAGCAGTTCTGACCTCTTCCAAGCCACAGCTTGGCCTAAGTGAAGGAAGCGTGTTCATGTTTCCTTTATCCCCAGTTCAAACACACACAGACACACACCCAGACACACATGTAGACACACACACACACAGATGCAGATACACACGCAGACATACATGCACACACGTACACAGATGCAGACATATATACACACAGACACACAGACATATATAGACACAGACACACAGACACATACACCCACAGACACACAGACATATACACCCACAGACACACAGACATATACAGACACAGACACACAGACATATACACCCACAGACACACAGACATATACAGACACAGACACACAGACACATACACCCACAGACACACAGACACATACACACACAGACACACAGACATATACACCCACAGACACACAGACATATACACACACAGACACACAGACATATATAGACACAGACACACAGACATATACACCCACAGACACACAGACATATACACCCACAGACACACAGACATATACAGACACAGACACACAGACATATACACCCACAGACACACAGACATATACAGACACAGACACACAGACACATACACCCACAGACACACAGACACATACACACACAGACACACAGACACATACACACACAGACACACAGACATATACACCCACAGACACACAGACATATACACACACAGACACACAGACACATACACCCACAGACACATAGACACATACACACACAGACACACAGACATATACACCCACAGACACACAGACATATACACCCACAGACACACAGACATATACAGACACAGACACACAGACATATACACCCACAGACACACAGACATATACAGACACAGACACACAGACATATACACCCACAGACACACAGACACATACAGACACAGACACACAGACATATACACCCACAGACACACAGACATATACACACACAGACACACAGACACATATACCCACAGACACACAGACACATACACACACAGACACACAGACATATACACCCACAGACACACAGACATATACACACACAGACACACAGACATATACACCCACAGACACACAGACATATACAGACACAGACACACAGACACATATACCCACAGACACACAGACACATACACACACAGACACACAGACGTATACAGACACAGACACACAGACATATACACCCACAGACACACAGACATATACACCCACAGACACACAGACATATACACCCACAGACACACAGACATATACACACACAGACACACAGACACATACAGACACAGACACACAGACATATACAGACACAGACACACAGACATATACACCCACAGACACACAGACATATACAGACACAGACACACAGACATATACACCCACAGACACACACATGCAGATACTCACATAGAAATGTACACAGACAGACGCACACAGAGACATGTACACACACACACAGACATAGACACATAGACACACAGAGACATACACACACAGATACACAGAAACATACGTGCACGCATAGACATGCATACACGGACATACACACGGACACAGGTACATAGGTACACTCTTCCCTAATTCTGCTCTATCCCTGAACTTCCTTTAATAATATGTAATTTTTAAATTTTAAGTTTGAAATGTTTTTTCAGGAAGAGTCTGCATTTGCCACTTCTGCCAGTTTGTTTTTGCTCTCTCTTCAGCTCCGTGCTCTCTGTGTTCTGTCCCCATCTCTAGAAAGTAAAAGATACGGATCTCAGTTGGCAAACTCAGGAGGGAAAGAAATGCAGCTTGTTTTTGCTTTCCTATCACTGAACATCCTATCTGATTTGTGACTCCTGTTGGCCGATGCCATAAACCTCACCTCTGTAAGTTCAGGGCTCTCAGCCCCTTCCCTGGAGTTGTAGCTAAGGACCACTGCATTATGGAGCCAAGGGGACATGCTGCTCTTGGTGTGGTTGATCCACACTGTTGAAGTGGCCTTGTCCCTCCTGGAAGGGCCTTGGTCTTTGATCCATGCAGGCATGTGGTCTCTTGTTCCCAGCATGGGGTCTCTTGATCTGCAGCTCTGGACCTCTCCTGGCCATGCTGGGGCTATGGGAATGGGGACATGGTGAAGATTACACGGGCCCCCTTTCAAGGACATACCCCAGGGTCTCACTCATTTTTGTTTCCTGGCTGATGCTCCCAGGTTCACCATCTTGGGATATTTGTTTGGGGCAAGGTGGCCCTCCTGTGGTCGTCCAGACTGTCCTCAGTGCCCTGGCTTACATTCCTTGAACTCTGAAGCCATGGTGTGACTCCTGTTCTCTGCCTTCCACTGTGTCATACCTTCCCTGGGACAGTGAAGGCCACTAACCTAATGGGAGGGGGCATGGTGGCCAAGGGGTATTAGAAAACCCCTGAAACAACCAACCAAACCAAACCCACATTGGCTTATAGGCCAGGCTATCATTCTGCTCCCTGGATGTAACCAATATGAGTGTTGTGATTCAGGCCCTCTTCTCCCCCCTTCTCCCTGCAGCATTTTACATTGTTAGATGCCCCTCTGCAGAACTCTTTTGCCCCTTGGCTTTGGGACAGAGTTACTATTAAGTCCCCTCCTATCTCTTACCATTTTTTTCCTGCTTCTTCTAGTTTCTTCTTGCTTCTCTGGGAACTTTGACCAGGTTGCTGTCCTGGGCCTCTTATTTTTTCTTTTTGTGGTCTCCCCTTGGTGAGCTCAACTGCTTCCACAATTTCATGTTCCCTTTCTAGGTAAGTTGTTCCTAGATTTATGTGCCCAGCTCTGAGCTCTTTCCTAAGGCCTGGACTAGTATTTCCTACATTAGAGAGGCCTGTGGACCAGTGCAGTGACTCCTGAGACCGGCTTGATTGTTACAACCACTTGGATAGCTTCAATGGAAAGATGCCAGTGCGTTG